TTTCCTCAATGCGACTGTCACCTGGTATGGCGATATGCCATCAGAGCCTTTGCAGTTTGATTTTGAGGTCTTGATAGTGGCTGAGTTTTTCCTGTTGTTTTTCCTCAATGCGACTGTCACCTGGAATGGCGATATGCCATCAGAGCCTTTGCAGTTTGATTTTGAGGTCTTGATAGTGGCTGAGTTTTTCCTGTTGTTTTTCCTCAATGCGACTGTCACCTGGAATGGCGATATGCCATCAGAGCCTTTGCAGTTTGATTTTGAGGTCTTGATAGTGGCTGAGTTTTTCCTGTTGTTTTTCCTCAATGCGACTGTCACCTGGAATGGCGACATCAATAATCCAGACTTCTTTCTTTTCCACAATTGTGAGGTTTGGTGTATTGTGTTCCAACACTTTGCCAGTCTGGATTCGAAAGTCCCAGAGTATTTTTGCATGTTCATTTTCCATGACCTTTGCGGGTTTATGATCCCACCAATTCTTTGCTGCTGGCAGGTGGTCCTTGTGACATAAGTTCCAGTGAATCATCTGGGCCACAGAGTTGTGCCTCTGTTTGTAGTCTGTCTGTGCAATTTTCTTGCAACAGCTGAGGAGATGATCCATGGTTTCATCCGCTTCCTTGCACATTCGTCAGCTGATTTTTCAATCCTGGCCTCAATGGCATTGGTTCTGATGGGTTGCTCCTGGGCTGCAAGAACCAGGCCTTCTTCTGTCTCCTTCTTTAGGGTTCCATTCATGAGCCAGAACCAGGAAAAACGAAATGCAAAGATATAGAATGGGGGACAATGCCTGGCTCGAGAGCAGTACGTGTGAAAAAGATCTGGGAGTCCTCGTGGACAACAAGCTAAACATGAGCCAGGAATGTGATGTGATGGCAGAAAAAGCCAATGGGATTTTGGCCTGCATCAAGAGGAGCATCGTGTCTAGATCTAGGGAAGTCATGCTCCCCATGCTCTATTCCGCTTTGGTTAGACCACTTTACCTGGAATATTGTGTCCAATTCTGGGCACCACAATTCAAGAGAGATATTGACAAGCTGGAATGTGTCCAGAGGAGGGCAACTAAAATGATCAAAGGTCTTGAGAACAAGCCCTATGAGGAGCGGCTTAAGGATTTGGGCATGTTTAGCCTGAAGAAGAGAAGGCTGAGAGGAGATATGATAGCCATGTATAAATATGTGAGAGGAAGCCACAGGGAGGAGGGAGCAAGCTTGTTTTCTGCTTCCCTGGAGACTAGGACGCAATGGAACCATGGCTTCAAACTACAAGAGAGGAGATTCCATCTGAACATGAGGAAGAACTTCCTGACTGTGAGAGCCGTTCAGCAGTGGAACTCTCTGCCCTGGAGTATGGTGGAGGCTCCTTCTTTGGAAGCTTTCAAACAGAGGCTGGATGGCCATCTGTCAGGGGTGATTTGAATGCAATATTCCTGCTTCTTGGCAGAATGGGGTTGGACTGGATGGCCCAGGAGTTCTCCTCCTACTCTTTGATTCTATGATTCCCAACTTTTCCTTCAATTTTGTCAAGGAACTGTCCATGCAAGGCTTTGTTGTGCCAGCTATCAGCTCTGGCTTGTAGTGCAGTTTTCTTTTATTATTATTATTATTATTATTATTATTGACACAAAAATACAATATGTCACAGCAAACGAGATCTCTATGCTGGATTTCGTATCACACAAATCACAAAGCATTCCATGCTTTGTGGTGCCAGCTGTCAGCTCTGGCTTGTAGTGCAGTTTTCTATTGTTGTTGTTGTTGTTGTTGTTGTTGACACAAAAGCACAGTATGTCACAGCAAACGAGATGTCTATGCTGGATTTTGTATCACAAAATCACAAAGCATGCCATGCTTTGTGGTGCCAGCTGACAGCTCTGGCTTGTAGTGCAGTTTTCTATTATTATTATTATTATTATTATTATTATTATTATTATTAGGGTTTATTATTATTAGAGACCACTTGGGCCATCCAGTCCAACCCCTTTTTGCAATGCAGGAAAAGCACAACCAAAGCACCCCTGACAGATGCTCATTCAGACACTGTTTAAAACCTCCAAGGAAGCCGTTTCAACCAGACTCCAAGGCAGAGAGTTCCACTGTTGAACATTGTTAGATAGATAGATAGATAGATTGATAGATATATAATTTACTAGCTGCCCCCTGCCAGGCGTTGCTGTGGCCCAGTCTGGTGATCTGGAAATGAAGTAATGAGAAAGTGTTGGTTTCTAATATATGTAATGTCTTTATGCTTGTGGGTAAACAGTATTTCTTGCTGTTTCTTTGTCAGTGTTGATGTGGAGATTGTCTGGTTTGCCTACTCTGGAACATGCAACATATCATTGTCCTTCTTTAGGGGTCCCTTTGAAATCTTTGATACTGCATCTGTCATATACATATGTGTGTGTGCGTGTGAATGGCTGGATGGCCCTTTGTCAGGAGGGCTTTGTTTTGTTGCCCTGGTGAAGGGAGCTGGACTGGATGGCCTTAAGGCAGCATTTCTCAACCTGGGAAGTCAATACACCAAGGGGGGGGGGTCACCAGGGGGGTGTCAGAAGGGTCCCCAAAGACCACCAGGAAACACAGTATTTCCTGTTGGTCATGGGGGTTTTGTGTGGGATGTTTGGCCCAATTCCATCGTTGGTGAGGTTTGGAATGCTCCTTGATTGTAGGTGAACTATAAATCCCAGTAACTACAACTCCCAAATGTCAAGGTCTATTTCCCCCAAACTCCATCTGTGTTTATATTTGGGCATATTGAGTATTCATGCCAAATTTGGTCCAGATCCATCATTGTTTGAGTCCACAGTGCTCTCTGGATATAGGTGAACTACAACTCCCAAACTCAAGGTCAATGCCCACCAAACCCTTCCAGTATTTTCTGTTGGTCATGGGAGTTCTGTGTGCCAAGTTTTGTTCAATTCCATCGTTGGTGGAGTTCAGAATGCTCTTTGATTGTAGGTGAACTATAAATCCCAGCAACTACAACTCCCAAATGACAAAATCATAATTTTTTGAGTGATGGTCACTCCTTGTGTTTGAGACATTTTGTTGCCAAATTTGGTGTGATTTCGCTCATTGGTTCTTTTGTTTTTAAGGTACTCATTATGCACAGAGCATTTATATATATATATATATATATATATATATATATATATATATATATATATAAACTGTGCATAATGAGTACCTTAAAAACAAAAGAACCAATGAGCGAAATCACACCAAATATATGGATGTAAATCCACTTCTGCAAATGCAGAACAAAATGATAACATGTCCAGGAACAGTTTATTAGTTTCGTAGTCATTTCTCAGGCGAGTGTATCTCTATATCTCCTATAGAGGGCGGCTAAAATGATCAAGGGCCTGGAGAACAAGCCCTATGAGGAGCGGCTTAAGGAGCTGGGCATGTTTAGACTGAAGAAGAGAAGGCTGAGAGGAGATATGATAGCCATGTATAAATATGTGAGAGGAAGTCACAGGGAGGAGGGAGCAAGCTTGTTTTCTGCTTCCTTGGAGACTAGTATGCGGAACAATGGCTTCAAACTACAAGAGGAGATTCCATCTGAACATGAGGAAGAACTTCCTGACTGTGAGAGCCGTTCAGCAGTGGAACTCTCTGCCCCGGAGTGTGGTGGAGGCTCCTTCTTTGGAAGCTTTTAAACAGAGGCTGGATGGCCATCTGTCAGGGGTGATTTGAATGCAATATTCCTGCTTCTTGGCAGAATGGGGTTGGACTGGATGATGGCCCATGAGGTCTCTTCCAACTCTTTGATTCTATGACTCTATGATTCTATTCAGAGTCTGTCTAACAAGGTATATCTCCATCCTCTTGTCGAGCTGTACTTTATAACATGGGAGATCTACACACTCCCACAAATGCAAAACCGCGCACCAAAAAAAGACATTGCACTCCCGAAATAGAAGCAGCAGCAGCCTTGTGCAAGGACTGCCAATGCAAATGCCTTCCCCACCTTAAGATCTTACTCCCTTGCTTTGGACCAAGAATAACCGGTTATCTTTAGAAGCAAGAGATCTGAAGATGGAGACGAGGCACTAGACGGAGTAGCACCTCAAGACGACATTTTGGGGCGATCCAGACAAGCGAAAGTGCGTTCGCAGGGAAAGTTGCAACATTGTGCTTTGCGGTGGAGTGTGTTTCAAAACCTGCCTTGGTTCTGGGATCCGGCCACCTGCTTGGTAAACACTGCAAGCCGAGGATCTATTTTTGCTGCGGATTCTTAGAAAGAAACCCGATGGGCTTGTTTTACAGTCTGCGTCAATTGCTGACTCCGTTTGTGCATCTATTAGGGATGTGCAAGAGTATCGTTACTCTTCGTATTTCGTACCAAATTCTTACTCTTCGTATTTTGTATCAAATTCGTACTCTTCGTATTTCGTACCAAATCCGTACTCTTCATATTTCGTATCAAATTGCTACTCTTTGTATTTTGTACCAAATTCATACTCTTCGTATTTTGTACCAAATTCCTACTCTTCGTATTTTGTATCAAATTCGTACTCTTTGTATTTCGTACCAAATTCGTAATCTTCGTATTTCGTGCCAAATTCGTACTCTTCGTATTTTGTACCAAATTCGTACTCTTCGTATTTTGTACCAAGTTCGTACTCTTCGTATTTCATATCAAATTCGTATTCTTCGTATTTCGTACCAAGTTCGTACTCTTCGTATTTCATATCAAATTCGTACTCTTCGTATTTTGTACCAAATTCATACCCTTCGTATTTCATACCAAATTCGTACTGTTCGTATTTCATACCAAATTCGTACTCTTCCTATTTCGTACCAAATTCGTACTGTTCGTATTTCGTACCAAATTCGTACTCTTCGAATTTCGTACCAAAATTCATACTCTTTGTATTTCGTACCAAGTTCATACTTTTTGTATTTCGTACCAAATTCGTACTCTTTGTATTTCGTATCAAATTCGTACTCTTCGTATTTCGTACCAAGTTCGGACTCTTCGTATTTCGTACCAAATTCTTACTCTTCGTATTTCGTACCAAATTCGTACTCTTCGTATTTCGTACCAAATTCGTACTCTTCGTATTTCGTACCAAGTTCGTACTCTTCGTATTTCATACCAAATTTGTACTCTTCGTATTTTGCACCAAATTTGTACTCTTCATATTTCGTACCAAGTTCGTACTCTTCGTATTTCGCACCAAATTCGTACTCTTCGTATTCCGCATCAAATCTGTACTCTTCGTATTTTGTACCAAATTCGTACTCTTTGTATTTCATACCAAATTTGTACTTTTTGTATTTCGTATCAAATTTGTAAGATTCGTGCATATGAATCGATATTAGAAACATGCACAAAATATGTGTGTGGGGGAGGAATTTAAGAATCGAAACAATCCCCAATCATTTTTGTTTAGATTCAGTAACATTCAGATGCCTCCTAAGATCAGTTTAATTTTCAATATGAGCATTAAGCAACTTTGGGAAAGCCAAGAGAACATCAAGTGCCAAAACTGTTCCAAGACACACATAAATTGGAAAAGTTAAGGCCACCGATATATAGAACCCATTGTCCTAGCTTCCAACAGACTTCACAACCTCTGAGGATGCCTGCCATAGATGTGGGTGAAACATCAGGAGAGAATGCTTCTGGAACATGGCCAGACATTCCGGAAAACTTATAACAACCCAGTGATTTCTGCCATGAAAGCCTTCAACAATACATTGAGCATCTCTACAGGGAGAAACTGTTCCAAGACACACGTAAATTGGAAAAACTAAGGCCACAGATATATCAACCCCATTTTCCTAGTTTCCAACAGACCTCACAACTTCTGAGCATGCCTGCCATAAATGTAGGTGAAATGTCAGGAGAGAATCCTTCTGGAACATGGTCAAACAGCCCAGAAAACTAACAACAACCCACCAATCTTTTTTCTTTAGCTCAATCGCCATAAGGAAAACACTGGGGGTGGGACTAACAGGCAGAAGACAGCATTCTGGGAAATGTAGTTTGGGAAGATATAGATATCTATATCTTGATGCAGGGTCAACTACAAATTCCATCATGTATACATCTAAAGAATGATGTCCAGTGTGGTAGAAAGAACTCTTATCTGTTTGAAGCAAGTGTGAATGTTGCAACTGGCAAGCTTGAATTAGCATTTGAGCAGCCGGTGAAGTTTGCAAAGTCAACCAGTAACGGTATCTGCATAGAGGTAGCAAGTGGAGTGTATATCTATATCCATATCTATATCTATCTCTGTGGAATAATGTCCCGGGCGGGAGAAAGAACCCTTGTCTATTTAAAGCAAGTGTGAATGTTGCAATTAGCAAGCCTGAACAACATTGAGTAGCCGTTGAAGTTTGCAAAGTCAACTAGTGAGGGTATCTGCGTAGAGGTAGCAAGTGGAGTGTATATCTATATCCATATCTATATCTATCTCTGTGGAATAATGTCCCGGGCGGGAGAAAGAACCCTTGTCTATTTAAAGCAAGTGTGAATGTTGCAATTAGCAAGCCTGAACAACATTGAGTAGCCGTTGAAGTTTGCAAAGTCAACCAGTGAGGGTATCTGCATAGAGGTAGCAAGTGGAGTGTATATCTATATCCATATCTATATCTATCTCTGTGGAATAATGTCCAGGGCGGGAGAAAGAACCCTTGTCTATTTAAAGCAAGTGTGAATGTTGCAATTAGCAAGCCTGAACAACATTGAGTAGCCGTTGAAGTTTGCAAAGTCAACTAGTGAGGGTATCTGCGTAGAGGTAGCAAGTGGAGTGTATATCTATATCCATATCTATATCTATCTCTGTGGAATAATGTCCCGGGCGGGAGAAAGAACCCTTGTCTATTTAAAGCAAGTGTGAATGTTGCAATTAGCAAGCCTGAACAACATTGAGTAGCCGTTGAAGTTTGCAAAGTCAACCAGTGAGGGTATCTGCATAGAGGTAGCAAGTGGAGTGTATATCTATATCCATATCTATATCTATCTCTGTGGAATAATGTCCAGGGCGGGAGAAAGAACCCTTGTCTATTTAAAGCAAGTGTGAATGTTGCAATTAGCAAGCCTGAACAACATTGAGTAGCCGTTGAAGTTTGCAAAGTCAACCAGTGAGGGTATCTGCATAGAGGTAGCAAGTGGAGTGTATATCTATATCCATATCTATATCTATCTCTGTGGAATAATGTCCAGGGCGGGAGAAAGAACCCTTGTCTATTTAAAGCAAGTGTGAATGTTGCAATTAGCAAGCCTGAACAACATTGAGTAGCCGTTGAAGTTTGCAAAGTCAACCAGTGAGGGTATCTGCATAGAGGTAGCAAGTGGAGTGTATATCTATATCCATATCTATATCTATCTCTGTGGAATAATGTCCCGGGCGGGAGAAAGAACCCTTGTCTATTTAAAGCAAGTGTGAATGTTGCAATTAGCAAGCCTGAACAACATTGAGTAGCCGTTGAAGTTTGCAAAGTCAACCAGTGAGGGTATCTGCATAGAGGTAGCAAGTGGAGTGTATATCTATATCCATATCTATATCTATCTCTGTGGAATAATGTCCAGGGCGGGAGAAAGAACCCTTGTCTATTTAAAGCAAGTGTGAATGTTGCAATTAGCAAGCCTGAACAACATTGAGTAGCCGTTGAAGTTTGCAAAGTCAACCAGTGAGGGTATCTGCATAGAGGTAGCAAGTGGAGTGTATATCTATATCCATATCTATATCTATCTCTGTGGAATAATGTCCAGGGCGGGAGAAAGAACCCTTGTCTATTTAAAGCAAGTGTGAATGTTGCAATTAGCAAGCCTGAACAACATTGAGTAGCCGTTGAAGTTTGCAAAGTCAACCAGTGAGGGTATCTGCATAGAGGTAGCAAGTGGAGTGTATATCTATATCCATATCTATATCTATCTCTGTGGAATAATGTCCAGGGCGGGAGAAAGAACCCTTGTCTATTTAAAGCAAGTGTGAATGTTGCAATTAGCAAGCCTGAACAACATTGAGTAGCCGTTGAAGTTTGCAAAGTCAACCAGTGAGGGTATCTGCATAGAGGTAGCAAGTGGAGTGTATATCTATATCCATATCTATATCTATCTCTGTGGAATAATGTCCCGGGCGGGAGAAAGAACCCTTGTCTATTTAAAGCAAGTGTGAATGTTGCAATTAGCAAGCCTGAACAACATTGAGTAGCCGTTGAAGTTTGCAAAGTCAACCAGTGAGGGTATCTGCATAGAGGTAGCAAGTGGAGTGTATATCTATATCCATATCTATATCTATCTCTGTGGAATAATGTCCAGGGCGGGAGAAAGAACCCTTGTCTATTTAAAGCAAGTGTGAATGTTGCAATTAGCAAGCCTGAACAACATTGAGTAGCCGTTGAAGTTTGCAAAGTCAACCAGTGAGGGTATCTGCATAGAGGTAGCAAGTGGAGTGTATATCTATATCCATATCTATATCTATCTCTGTGGAATAATGTCCAGGGCGGGAGAAAGAACCCTTGTCTATTTAAAGCAAGTGTGAATGTTGCAATTAGCAAGCTTGAACAACATTGAGTAGTCATGAAGTTTGCAAAGTCCGTCAATGAGGGGATCTGCATAGAGGTAGCCTAGCTGTTGTTGCCTGGAGGTCTCCTCTGTCTGGGAGGTGTTAACTGGCACTTGATTGTTTGCTGTCTGGAATTCCTCCGTTTCTGATTGTTTCTCTTTGATTACTGTCCTGATTTTAAAGTTTTTTAATACTGGCAGCCAGATTGTGTTCATTATCATGGTCTCCTCCTTCCTGTTGAAATTGTCCACCTGCTTCTTGTGGATGTCAATGGCTTCTCTGTCTAGCCTGACATGGTGCTTGGGAGAGTGGTCCAGCCTTTCTGTGTTCTCATTTAATAATATTCTTTGTCCATGTTGGTTCATCAAGTGCTCTGCTATGGCTGACTTCTCTGGTTAAATCACTCTGCAGTGCCTTTCGTGTTCTTAGTGTGTTTTAATTCTCTTTTTACTACACTCCTCCTCCTCCTCTATTATTGTTGTTGTTGTTGTTGTTGTACTGACACAAAAGCATCGTATGTCACAGCAAACGAGATCTCTATGCTGGATTTCATATCACAAAATCACAAGTCGAACCCTTCCCAAGCATCTAGGACTGTGTGATGTATTTTCGAATGATGTGTGCAGATCCAAGTCAGGTGGCCTTTTGCAGTTGACAGATTGTGATTTTGTCGATGTTTATTGTTTCCAAATGCCAGCTGAGATCTTTTGGCACGGCACTTAGTGTGCCAATGACCACTGGGACCACCTGGACTGGTTGATGCAATCAGAGCCTTTGCAGTTCAATTCTAAGATCCTGATTTTAAGGTCCTGGTTGATGCCACAGCCTTTGCATTTTGCATTTTGAGGTCATGATAATGGCTGAGTTTTTCCTGTTGTTTTTCCTCAATGCGACTCTCACCTGGAATGGCGACATCAATAATCCAGACATTTTTCTTTTCCACAATCGTGATGTCTGGTGTATTGTGTTCCAAAACTTTGTCAGTCTGGATTCGAAAGTCCCACAGTATTTTTGCATGTTCATTTTCCATGACCTTTGCAGGTTTATGATCCCACCAATTCTTTAGTGCTGGCAGGTGGTCCTTGTGACATAAGTTCCAGGGAATCCTTTGGGCCACAGAGTTGTGCCTCTGTTTGTAGTCCGTCTGTTTGTAGTCCGTCTGTGCAATTTTCTTGCAACAGCTGAGGATATGATCCATGGTTTCATCCACTTCCTTGCACAGTCTGCATTTTGGGTCATCCGCTGATTGTTCAATCGTGGCCTTAATTGCATTGGTTCTGATGGCTTGCTTCTAGGCTGCAAGAACCAGGCCTTCTTCTGCCTCCTTCTTCAGGGTTCCATTCATGAGACATCACCAGGTCTTCTGCTTGTTAACTTTTTCTTCAATCTTCTCAAGGAACTGCCCACACCATGCTTTGTTGTGCCAGCTGTCAGCTCCAGTTTGGAGTGCAGTTTTCTTGTACTGACTCTTTGTCTGCTGTGCTTTGAGAAGTTTCCGATTATTTATTTATTTATTTATTTACTTCATTTGTTGACCGCCGCTCTCAGCCCTGGGGCGACTCGCGGCAGTGTACAACATATAAAAACCATCTACAAAACATACACTATATCAACAACCAAATTACACATTAATCTAAATCACACTAATAAAACCGCGCCATCACAACATAGAATCATAACATAGAATCATAGCCAATCTCATAGTCCATAGTCCGTTCCAAATGTCATTACCAGATTCGTATGGCTCAATTAAATGCCTTCTCGAATAGCCAGGTCTTTAGGCTCTTACGA